GGAAAGACTTTTAAATAATTAAATGAAAACAAAAAAAAAAAAAGTTTTGTGTGTTTTCGACATCATCAAACCTTTTCCTATGTTAATTATTATCAGGCTGAACTTTCGTTTTTTTTTATTTATTTAAATATCTATTATACAAAAAAGATTATTAATAAATACATAAATGAGCTTTTGTCAAACGTAATATATATTCGATTACGAATACATATATAATTTTTAAAAAAATGGAAAGTTATTTGCCATTTTTTTAGGTGTAAAACGTTTAATAATGGGAGGCTTGTTCATTTTAAAACAATTAATTACTAATTACACGATAAATATTACCATATTACCACACCCGAAAAGAAAAAAAAATAGTTTTCACCACCACTATAACGTAATTAACGATGAAAATTTCTTTTCGAATCGATTTTCCCGAATAAAACGTCTTTTTCGATACTTTCTAAAAAAAAAAAAAAAAAAAAAAATGAAGAGAAACCAAATTTACCAAAAAAAAAAAAAAGTTGACCTTTAAGACAAAAAAAACCGTATAAAATACTATCGTATTCCTATGGTGGTATTAATAATAATAATAATAATAATAATAATACTTCTTTTCTACAACAACAACATTTTCTTTCTTTCTTTCATTCTTTCTCTTCTAGAAAAATCGATAATTTATTTAGTCGGTTTAACAAGTGGCATTATTATTATTATTAATTTTTTAAATAAATAAATCGCGTTCGAAATTGAGCAATTTAGAAATCTTCTGCTATTTCGAAACGTTAAAAAAAAAAAAAGAAAAAAATTGTCAGATCACATTCAGAGAAGACATATTTCCATATTGAAAAAATTTTTTGTTGTCGTTGTCGTTGTTGTTGTTGTTGTTGTTTTTAATGTTAATCAATTTTCTTTTAATAAAATTTTTTTTTAATAGAATTAAAATTCAATAAGTGAATATATATACATAAGTTAAAAAAACATAAAATTAAAAAAATCGTAAAAAATTTAATAAATAAATATTATCGATAATATTAAGTCGTTTACCTGTTATAATAATAATAAATTTTTTTTTTTTTAAAAAAATGTCGAAACCGTTAATTACGTCAAAATTGTTTTTATTAAAAAAAAAAAAGGAACAACAACAACAACAACAACAAACGTGATATCTTAAACGTTTTTGAAATAACGTATTCTTTAATTTTTTTTAAATTTTAAAACGAAAAAAATTAAAAAATTCGACCGAAATTATTTCGTAAATGTACGACATGCACACGCGTAAAAAAAAAATTATTACGGGTAATAAAAAATATCGATTTTTTTTTTTTTTGTAGTAAATACCACGAAAATAATTTGAAATAAATTATCCTTCTCATACGAACAGTAATTATACCGTAATAATTACTTTTAAAAAAAATTCGGTTGGGCAAATTTAAGTAGACATTGATAAGTACATAACAGTTAAAAGTAGTTAATAACGAGATCATCATCATTATCATCATCTCATACGCATATTAACGCACAAATGTGTAATTTTTTTGTTTTTTTTTTCGAAGAAAGATTGCACGTGTCATAGGTCAATTTAAAAATTCGTGAATTTTCTTGTTTTTCCAGCGATTTTATCGACAAATTAAAAAAAGATTGAAAGAAAGTGTATTACAAGTCCTTATATTGTTATTATTATTATCATCATCGCGTCGTTTGTTTTACTTAAAACTTGTTCGTTTCTTTAAAAAAAAAAATATAACGATCGAGTTTTTTTTTTTTTTCTTACTCGTATTTCATTCAATATATATTAATAATAATAATAATGCGTAAGGATTTCGTGAGAAATGTAAAAGTTATTATTATTGGAATTTTAACGAGAGAAACAAAAAAAAAAAAAAAAAAAAAGATACCATTTTAAAAGAGAAAGTTAATATTTAATTGTTCGATCGAACAAACAGCAACAAATCAAAACAAAAAAATAAAATAATAATAATAATGCAAATGATTTATTTATTTACTTACTTATTTTTCCCTAAATTTATGTATTAATTGTTAAAACTTTTAACTTAAAAAATTATTCGTTCTATTATAATCAAAACTAATACTTGTAATGCCTTTCGTTCGACTACTGTACCCAATGATTACGTCAGCAAGTGTTCTATTCATTTTTTGAAATTTGTCGACGTTTTTCCCTCTCGTTTCCACCAATCAGAATCATCCGATTTTTTTTTTTTTAATTGTTGCGTTTTAATTGTTGGCGTCGGTCGTTCTTTTTTCTTTTAACCGTTTTTTTTCTTTTTTTTTTTGTGAAATTTATGTAATTTCGTGATTAACTTGTTTTTGAAAGGTTGAAAAACGGAAAGAAAATGTTTTACTTTTTACGTAATTAATGAAAAAAACACTAAATATTTGGCGGTATTCGAAGTTTTAAAAAAAAGCAAAAGGGGCATACTTTTAGTATAGTACTTTTTCGGTTTTTACTTTTTTTTTTTTCCTCTTTCGAAACCAAACCCGTTAAATACCTTTCTTACTATCATTATTATTCTATTTTTTTCGTTCGAATAACTTTACCGAATTTTTTTTTATTATCAGCATTAACCAAATTCAATCATGCAATATAATACATTCACAGTACGTGTTTCATAGCTCATTTCACTTTTTTTCTTAGCAAAAATTACTTTCGATATATATAACTGACCACAATTTTCTAGGGGCGTATTTACCGGCATTTGAAATTTTCTTTTTTTTAAATTTTATTTTATACGAAAAATAGGGTTAATAATTTTTTGTTTAAAACAATTCAAATTACCGTTGTTTTGTGCAAACATATTAATTAATTTTCTTTCCGTTTTGAAATAAATATTTGTGTGTTTGTCGCCGTCTACAACAAAACAAAAAGCGAGGTAAGAAATATTTATTTTCGAAAAAAAAATTAAAAAGTCGGTTTTTGGAACGTTAAAAGTTATCAAATCGTCACGTACGTTTGTTAAAACTAACAAACGCTTATCCTTTTTGGATTCCGAAACCGACGCCATCTTGTTTTTTTCAAGAGTTAATTTTTATCTGCGTAAGCAAAATGAAAGGAATGTCAGAGCAAAAAAATTTTTTCGTTACTCAGTAACACAAACTTAAAATTTCTTAAATTTATTTTAAATCGACAGAAAATTAAAATAAAATTTAAAAAAAAGAGTAGGAAACGGTTTAATTTACTAATTACTTAAAATTCATTGACCTCTCACATAAGTATAAATAAATTCGACGATGATGAAAAAAAAAAAAATGGTGGTGGTCAAAGGTAGATAAAAAAAAAATATTCTACCGTTATCTAATAAGAAAAATTAAAATTGATAAATTAAAAATTTTCATGCGTGTTAATTTAATAATAACGTGCGTAAAAAAAAAAAAAAAAAATATTAGTCGCAAACGAATGCTTGCGTGTAAAAAAAAAATTTTTTTCTTTTGTGATCGTCTCGTTGATAATTATCATTATGGCGATGTCATTTATCCATTGATTATTTTATTTTTATATAATACACAAGAGTAAAAAATGTTAAAACTTACCCTCGGTTTGCTTCCGGGTAAATTATAACCATTCCATGTTCGAGATCTCGAAGAATTAACACTTCCGTGATCCTCTTGAGTTAATGGCGGGGGTGGTAGCATAAGCATCGCATTATGAGTCCTACGAAGGATTTGTTGAGGATGCGGTTCGTAATATTTTTCGAGTCTGTTCATCATTTTTAATGTAAATCAAATTTCGATTTTTATTATTACGATTGATCGATCAACCGTTTCTTTCTAGAATAATGAGATAAGAATTTTTTTTTTTCCCAGATCACGTCCCTTTCACTCATTCATAATAATCCGCAATTGAAAATTTTTTTGATTTCTATAAAAAAGAAAAAAAATAATAATAATTTTTTCGTTTCGTAAGTGCTAAGTAATTTTAAATTGTGAGAAAATTTCGTATTGAAAATTTTATAAAAAATTATTAATTTAAATAAAAGTGTCAAAATTTTTTTTTTTTTTTTTTTTTGACACGACAAGTCAAGGTTCATTTATTTTTAATGAGTAATAATTATATGTGAGACGAGTTATTAAAAAAAAAAAAAAAAATGTTGTAAATCTTTAAAGAGAAACGACGTTATTGTTATCGTTAAAGTGATAACAATATGAATGTCGAAAACCACTCGTGCAAAATTTAAAAAAAAAAAATAAAAAAAAAAAAAATGTGCTGAGTATTGTTTTTTTTCTTTTTCATATTTAACTTAACGGTTTCGGTTAAATTTTTTTTTTTTTTTCTCACACCAAACCCGATTTCAGTTACAAAGATAAATTTTTAATTTGCATATTGTTTTCTTTAATAGTAATAATAATAATAATAAGCATGGCTGATATTCAGTCATTTAAGGATGGGGTAGAAATAATGTTGTGGAATAAATGTTGGAAAAAATCTGATAAAAACGAGATGAATCGTCATCATTATGACACTGATTGAATAATAATAATAATAATAATAATAATTCCTTATCCCGAGACAATAGTAAACGCATAAAAATTTTAATGATTAAATTTTACATAATAAAAAATCAATTGATTTTATCGGTATTTTAAAAAATTTCACGAATACCAAGCATCACGCACGATATAAGAAAAAAATTTACCAAAATAATAATAATAATAATAATGGAGTCATGAACCATTAATAAAAATTAAAAAAAAAAAAAAATTATAAACGGAAGTTAAATAACGAATCGAATGAAATTATACAATCGTTTGAATTTCCTTTACCACGCGTTCATAATCATAATCATCATCATCATCATTATTTTTTTTTTAATAATATGACGATTAACGAATAAATTTTTATTGAAACGAATTTTATTTTCGCAATAAAAATTATTATTATTATTATTATTATAACGGATTTTTGAAAATTAAAAATAATAATGATAATAATAATAATGGTAATAATAAACGACGGTTATGATAATGTTTTTTCTTTCGCAACCGTAAAAAAAAAAAAAAAAACTTTACGTGTGAATATTTTTCAACAACACAATTATTAAAAAAAAAAAAATAAACAAATTCCTAACTTAACTACTACCACGACCACCACCACCACCACTACTACTACTACCACGTTTTTATCAGTTAATGATATAACGATAATTGCGTTGGAATCTTTCATTGTTATTAATATTATTATTATTATATGATTTATCTCGTCATGATTCTCTTGTTTGTAATATTTACCGGTCGTAGATGGTTAATTTAAAAAAAAATAATAAAAATAACTTAATAACAACCGAAGAAAAACAACAACAACAACAACCATTTCAATTTTTTTTTTTTTGTTTATATATCGGAAAATAAATCTGTTTCTTTTTAATGGCGAACTACATATTTGACACACTCTCTCGTTTTTAAAATAAAATATTTAAATCGTGAATGAAATTATGCGTGTGCGCGTGAATTTGCTGCGTACCTTAACGTAAAACAGTCTAGGTAATAAATAAAATTGCCAACTAACTAACTAACTACCTTCGCCCTTGACGTTATTATTATTGTTATTGTTTTATACGCCATGATGGATGTACGTCGATTATTATTATTCACTATTTTTTTTTTTTCAGGATTGATTGCTCTCGTATTGGGATAAAATTTGAAAGGTATCATTTTGCTTGTCGTGGACATTCTAACATGTAAGTAAGTAAGTACCTGTACAATTTTTTTTCTTATTTTTTGCAACCTGTCGGACTTGTTTTTAACAAACAAACAAACAAAAACTTTCTATTCTATGTCGTCTGCACGTACAAAAAAAAAAAACAATTCGATAATTGAATTTTAATTGATCTTAATAAAAAAAAAAAAAATAAATTCACGTTTTTAGTTATGGGAAAATTAAACGAGACAATTATCGCGACGCGAAAAAATAATAATAATAATAATAATAATAGTAAATTAAATAATTATTACGGTAATGATTGCAATTTTTTTTTTTTTCGTCGGCTGGATGATAATTGAGGGGGGGGGGAGCGTTCATGTGTATAAAATTTAATTGGGTTCAAATTACAGTTTCGATGGTAGGGGTGGTGGTGGTGGTGCAAATGTCTTTTTGACAAGGATCGTAATTGAAGTAAAAAATATATTACGATAATCGTTTTCCTCCGTGTGTGTGTGCGTGACGTTTAAAACAAACAACCCAACAAACAGATTCCCACGAGTTTGTAATGAATCAAACAAACAAACAAACAAAAACGAGAAAAAAATAAACTTTTCGCGTATGCTACGGGTAGTGGAGAAAAAAAGAAAAAAAAATTAAATAACGGATGTTATTATTATTATTACTCCGCTATTTTTTTTTTTGAATGAGGTATACCGTCTGAGGGACACATACTGTCAACCATTTTTCTTTTTTGTTCGTAATTTCTGCGGGAGAAAAAATTATTTCCGAATTTAAAAAAAAAAAAAATCATTTTGCGGTTTTTTTTCTCCTTTAATTTTAAAATCGATATGAAAAAGTGTATGTAGAACCGCAAAAGTATTTTTTTCTACTCGGGAAAATTTATTTATTTATTTATTATTTTTTAATAAATTTATAAATAATAATAATAATGATAATAATAATTCATTTTAAAAATATATGCGGCGAGATAAAAATGGAGGATAATGGAAAGTAATGAAAGTTGTTAAGTTTTTTTTTTTTTTTTCATATTTGGATCAGCACAATTTCGATTTTTTTTTTTTTGCGGTTTTTAATATTATTATTATTATTATTTATGGCGAATCGAATGTCAAACGTTAAAAATTATCGTCGTAACGTATTAATTAAATTAATAAAAGAAATTTTTTTAAAAAAAAAACTTTTAGCCGCTAACCGTGCGAAAATATTTTTCAATTAGAAATTAAATAAAATGAGAAAACTACTTTTTAAAAAAATTACTCTTGACAATTTTATTTATTTATTTTTTTTTTTTTGTGGGACGATGAATATCCGTTTCGTGTTTGTTAGTTTGTTAATATCGATAATTTTCTAGACTTAAAAACTTTTTAAATTGTTCCCGTTTGTTTTGCGACAAAATGAAAATTATTTTATTTTTTGGGGGGACAAATGTAATTTTTATCTTACTTGCTGTCGTACGATTTTAAATTACGATTCCTTAAGAATCATCTTTAAGATTTTTTTAAAATTCTTACCTTTTTTTTATTGTACATTCCTTTTTTTCAATCGAGCAACCGTTAATAGTTTAAGTTTTTAATTAAAAAAAAAAAATCCGCGTTTAAAAATTGTTTGTTTCCCAAAAAAAACAAATCGAAAAAAATCACAAAAATCACTTAATCAAACATTTATTTATTAAATTCGTAAAGTTAGAGAAAGAAAAAAAAACAACAACATCCGCAGATTTCCAATTAATTAATTTAAAAAAAAAAAAAAAAAAAACATCCGCGCGTCGATTTCGCGAAAGAAAAAGTCTTAAGGAGACTCGAACGAGTTGATGGACTCCACCATGTCTTGAGCAGAACTGTAGGTACCACCTACGGATATTACAGAACTGGAGAAAACTCGTCTCGAATTCTTTTTTTTATTTTTTTCCTTTCTATACCAATACGCGCATAAAATCCACTACTACCACTACTACTACTACTACTACTACCACTACTCGATAATTTTGGACTCTTTAACACGCGTACGCGACGACCGGGTACCTCAGGTTTCTTTTTTTTCTCCACTTAATAAAAATATTCGAGAGCCCGAGAGGTTAAAATCTCGCTCTGATATACTTTATGTAATTAAACTAAATTTTTTTTTTTTTTTATAACGAATCCCTATTTCTAATATTGTCATCATTTTTTGTTTTGTTTTTGGTAAATTACATACTTCTTAACTCGCTATGTTTAGTTTTGTTTCTCTCTCTCTCACTCTCTCTCTATCTTTCTCTCGTTTTTGTTTGTTTTATGGGATGATTATGAAAACCCGAATTTTGTTCCCAATTAGGAATTGACGAAAAAACAAAAATGTAGTTTATGTTTAATATCTTACGCTCATCTTTACGGTGCATGTTTTTGTTCAAGTATGTAAAAATATTTAAATATACTTGAAAATATTACGATGAAGTCACACACACACGCGCACACACGCACAAAAGTTCATTCGGTTCGTTAATACTAAGTAAACAAATGACCTTTTGTGGAAAATTTTCCGGTCATTTACGGTCATGTTTCATTCATTTAAATTTAAAAAGAGAGAAATGGGTAAACGAGGATAGAGAGACACTAAAAAAAAATTTTTTTTTTTTTTGTGATCAATATTATTATTATTTACGAATAACACGTGGAGTCTGATTTAAAAAAAAAAAAAAACCGTAATGTTATTATCAATCGTTATCAGTTTGATGGAAGGTGATAAGATTTTTTTTCAGTGTTAAGGAAATATTCGTTTGCTCTTGTTTTTGCTTTTGCTCCTGCTGCTGTAGTCGAAGTAATTTTTTAAATTTTTTCTTCTCCCCAAATCTTTGATCGATCGATCGATCGATCGATCCATCGATCTAACGATAACAATACATTTACGCAATCTTTTTTTTTTTTTTCTTTCGTTTATAAAGATAATATATTACGCGGCGGAGGAGGGTTTTGGATAATGAGAATGGGAATCTTTTTTTTAAAAAAAAAAAAAAACTCGTAACAACTTTCTAGTTAAATTATTGTGAGAGATAAATCATTAAGCAAATCAAAGA